TCTCTCTCCTCTCTTAAAATTTTTTATTTTTTCTAATTCTCTCACCTTGGGAGAGGAGAGACTTTCAATCAAAATTCAAACATACAAACAAAACTCAATTATACCCAGTAGCTTACAATAACTTATTAAACAAAAAGTGCATCCAAACAATATAACCATTACGTAATAACACCATTGACACAGCTTTTTATTTTATTTCTTCTCTTTTTAAGCCCAAACAAAAACTTATTCCCATACTAAAACTAACCAGTATTGACTGTTTATTATATTTAAAAGCTGGCCGACATGGTGAGCAGCGGCGGAGCAGCAAGCGACGGCGAAGTAACTGGGTCAAAAAGATGCAGTCAGAACTTGAAGAAGGGTCCATGGACGGCGGCGGAGGATGCAATCTTGATGGAGTACGTGAAGAAGCATGGTGAAGGGAACTGGAACGCTGTGCAGAAGAATTCAGGTTTGATGAGATGTGGTAAGAGTTGTAGGCTTCGATGGGCTAACCATTTGAGGCCTAATCTCAAGAAAGGCTCTTTTACTCCTGAAGAGGAGAGGATCATCATCGAACTTCACGCTAAACTCGGCAACAAATGGGCTCGCATGGCCGCACAGGTACCCTTAATTACCCACATAATAAATGCATATATATAAACTATATAGATCATTTCTCTAAGATTGTGGTTTTGATTTTTCTTTTTTCTTTTTATGTGATCAATTTGATTTGTTCAAGTAGTTTTGAGAAGTCTCTTGTTTTTCCTCTTCTTCGTTGATTGTTTGACTGGTTTTGTTATGTGATTGTGATAGTTATTTTCGGAGACAATTTGATTTTTGAAATATAATTTCGATATATGCATATATATAAAATTTTCATTTGCTTTGGTCTATCTATCTTATTCTTATCTGAATTTCCATTTCAATTTCGTATCTATCTCTCTCCCTGACTTGTCTTTATATCCTTGTTCTTATTCCTTAATCACCAAGCTATCTCATTTGATAATTCATCTCTCTACAGCTACCTGGAAGAACTGACAATGAAATCAAGAACTACTGGAACACCAGAATGAAGAGACGCCAAAGAGCCGGCCTACCTATCTACCCACAAGAAATCCAAGAAAAAGCCGCAGCGTTTCACCACCACCACCACAGGAGATCCCACAACAATTCATCCGCTTTACTGTCTTCACTCCTCACATCACAAAACCCCACTTACAATCCCTCTCTCTCCTTGTTCGATACCTTCAATTTCCCAACCGCTGCAAACCACCCTCTTCAAAATCAACCAACTTCATTTTACTCCAATCCTAATCACCAATTCAAGATTTTTTGTGACAACAACAATGGCACTAATGGTTTTTCTATCCCTTTATCCCCTAATTCTTCATTTGTACCATCAGCAACAACTCTCTTCAATCAAAACCTCCAATCTCAGGCTCTTCCAGTACCATCTTTTAAATTCAATAGTGGAAATAATTTTGAGCGTGATTTGAGTTTTAGTTCGATGATAATGGGAGCGGGAGGTTCTGTTGACCCAATTAATCATTTTGTTTCTGGGATGGACAATGAGCTCCCTTCAAGCCAAATACCACCACAGGCACAACCAAGGACTTCAGCTTCAACAGGGTCAACGGCTGGTGTTTGTACGATGAAAACTAATGCTGACCATAAAATAATTCCCCCCAAAACGACTGGAGGCAATAGTGGCCTGTTAGATGCTCTAGTGCAAGAGTCACAAAAGCTATCTCGCAATGAAATATTCAAAGGTGAAAATTTGTCGGTTGTAGGTGATAAAGGGAAAGGCGTGGTGGGTGTGCCTTGTGAAGAGGAGGAAGGCAATGAAGGTGTTGATTCAGTGATGAGGAATAGCGGCGAGGCTAATGCTGATACACTGTGGGATGATTTGAGCTCTTCTCAGTCATCAATTGGTGAGTTCAATTATTTTTGCTCATTCCATCTCTATTCGCATGCACTTGGTAGAATCAATTACACGTAGTCCTAGCTTGGACTTTTACATTATAGCTTGCCTTTAAATTTTAATATTATTCCCAATGTGCACCCAGTTTTATTCTCACGTACGACAATAAGCGCCGATAAGACTAAAGCCAAACAATTATTTTAACTTGTATTTTAAAAAGGATTCACATAAATCAAACAGGATAAAAGATATTTTTCAAGTTTAAGATTTGAAACTCCATAAAATTAGTCTACATGCTTGTCACTTTTACTTCATGTATATATTTTCTTTAATGTTTGTACACTATTCTTTAACCAATTGACAGTGGGTTAGAAGGTATAATTTAGATTTTTCAACTGTACTTTTATGTATGTTCATGATACGGTAAGAAAACACATGAATATGGTTTGGTTAACACAGGAATGAAAGCCGGTGAGGAACCATTAGAGGAGATGAATTCCATGGACGATGATCTCATGACCCTGCTCAACAACTTCCCCTTATCAATGCCCCTTCCTGAGTGGTACCCCGGAAACAGCGAAATTTCGAACGGATCATCAACCACCATGACAGGTGGCAGCAATGTAGACACTAACCATCAGCAAAATGCTGCAACTACCATTGCTCCACCCTCAGTTGCCTCCCCGGACCTCCAGTGGTCTCTGGGTTCCTGCGGCTGGAACAACATGCCCAGCATTTGCTAAGCTAAGCATATATCATATCCTTGCAGAGACCAGGAGTAGCTAGAATCAGCAGTGTGTTCTAATCGTTTAATTAGTTTTTTTTTTCTAAAGTTTAATTTTACTAAGCAGTCAATTCCATTTAGGTTTAATTGTGTGATCGCGTCTTCTGTTGAACTATAATGTTTACTTGTATGTAGCTTTATATATTGGCGGCCCCGACTAGATGACTAATTTTATGATCATGTATATACCGATCGTCAATCTAGAATATAGTTTTTAACTTTCTAGATATTTTTTTAATGGCTGTTTTCGTCTACTTCTATATCCTGGTTTAATATAGAAGGTAATAAGTTGAGACAATCTTTATGTTCTACAAACCAATTTTTTTTTTTTTTAAATGTCGTACAAGAATGACGAACCCACTTGTCATCGCCTTATACCGGAATCTCGCTAAATGAAGTGCATACATGGCTAATTTTGGAGGTGGCGAAAGAAGGAAGAGAAAGATAGCTCTTAAAATAAGAAATGTTGTGACGACCTTTGAGCTGGCTTCAAATTTTTGTCCTCGAAACGCTTCTATTTTTTGAGCTAAAACTGGATTTTTGCATAATCCATAGCATCTTTCCCCCAGTCACTGGCCCCCAATACTTCCATTATAAAATTGACTATATTAGCAAGATGCAGCATTTTAATACACAATGGAGTATAGCTTAAATAAAATAGATAATGGGTATCACCACGTATGCAAACATGTTTCACGTTCTTTTTCTTCTTTTTGCATTTCTTAAAGTAAAGTTTTCATGTACATATCTCGAATATATATATATATATATATATATATATTTCTTTTTGCATTTCTTAAAGTAAAGTTTTCATGTACATATCTCGAATATATATATATATATATATGCCTGGTTATATACTTTTTCTTTTTGTTTGCTTTCCTTTCTCCTTTTTTTTTTCACAGCTAAGCTCAATAAACTTGATTGACAATAAGTCAATAATGATGAAATACGTAATGAACTTTAAATGATATCCCAAATATTGATTAAACTGAATTATCTGCAAATGCTATCAGTTTTCTTGTGCCCACTTAGCAACTTAATCCATATTTATAATTACTTGGTTTCAGTACAGAGTTTTTGTGTCATTCAAAGCATTTTAAAACAGTGAAAAACTTATTATTTTTTTTTTTTTTTTTATTTAATTTAAAAAAATTACTTTTTAAAAAAATAAAAAATTAATTTCTTATAAACAACATACCAAAAACCGTAACACACCATTAACGATTACTTCTTGGAAATGCACATTTTTAATCATTTTATCATTAAAGGAAAAGTTTAACAAATATGTTATTTTACTTCAAATACAGCGGGTTATCAAATAATTTATTGGGAATGGACTAGATTGGTTTTGTCTTCTAATTCATTAGAGAAATTAAAGGGAAAAGAGCTGAGAGCTGAAAATCATCAGGTCAACGATCTGTTTAGTGAATATTTTCTTAACTCAACAAAACATTGACCATTTTGATGATGAATCTAACATGAATTAAATATATGTGAGAGTGAGAAAGAAGGCTCAAAAAAGGGAAGTAAATTACGTCAAGCAGATGGGATGGGTGTGACTGTATAAGGTTCTTAATTTAAAATAAGGAACACAGGTGTTGCATGAGAAAAAGAGTGGCAATGATTCCTCTTCCATGTATTTCATGCACTGCGAGCCTCAGGCATTTCTCGCACCACCTCATTTCAAGCCATTCATTTCTCTCCTTTCAAACCTTGCCTCCTTTTCTCTACATATCATATTTTCTTAGCTTTACTCATTTTCAATATTATCCATCGCTCTTACGTACTCTTAGCATGCATGATACATAGTCCTTCTCATAATTAACCTCTTCTTTGTAAATGCTTCATCTCTCTCTCTCTCTCTCTCTCTCTCTCTCTCTCTCTCTCTCTCTCTCTCTTTCCATTCCAGTCTATAGAATCCTTTTTATTTGGTGGCATTCATTCCACAAGTGTGGTTGACAGAAAATAAGTAAATAAATAGAAGTATTTACAAGCAATTATCTATCTAGATACCACTCTCAAATTGCCTTAAACAACCTGAGCACGTTACTCGTATTTGTATTTAGTTGACAAGTCTAAAAAGGAAAAATGCCCACTTTCCACTTCAAGACAAATCCACACTGTAAATTTGGAAAAATAAGGTACTTCCCTTTATATTCACGATAATTATCCACCCCTTGTCGTCTGAATTCTCATATGATACGTTTCAGGCCACCAATCCCCTGCTAATTGTCACCTATCTTATTAACCACACGCATACACTAGACATTCAATTTCTTTTTCCAAGTTGATTTGCACGACACATGATAAAGTTACTTACATTTTTTATGTTGTTCTATTTAATAGACGAAGTTGTCAATTTTGTGATGTGCAAGTAAATTCTCATGCGTTAAAGGTAAAAATTAATATTATAACTTGAAAAATTAACTATCAATTAGTTGAAATCTCAACTTCGACACTACTTTGGAAAAGGCCCAATTTCCCTGCCAGAGATTGATGACAATATTTAAACTATAGTTATTGTATAAAGCGCTTAATATGGATGTGAAATCCATTATTGAACAAAAATTACTAGGAAACATGACTATAAAGAGATGCCATATATCAGTTATGCAAACTGAATTCTGAAGGATAAAAGGTGGGAAGTATTAAGCCTTAGATTTAACTTGAATCACAACCTTCCCCATATTAGAGCTTGAGAAGATGGATCCTAAGCCCTCCAAGAAGCTCTCAATTCCATTGTAGATCACGTGTTTTGAACTGATTTTTCCTTCTTTTATATAGGTCTCCATCTGCTTTGCAAAATCACCGAATCGATGCATCGATGACCCCATCATAAACCCTTCCATTTTTACCTCTTTACCAATCATGTTCATCAGATTCCTTACCCCATCTCTCTCCGTCCAAACCTACAACAAAAATATACATGTTTATATATAAATTAACATGCATGTGGATTGATGAGATATATTATTGTTGATTGAGATTTGATATTGGTGCACCTTATTATATTCAGATATCATTCCGCAGAGGACGATATGTGCCTTGCTGTTGACATGGTTGAGAACTGCCTCAAGCATCTTACCCCCAACATTGTCAAGGTAAAAATCAATGCCATTAGGAAAATACCTGTAACATTCAAGGTAATATGTAAATTTTTTACTGTCATTAAAATGTTATATCTGGTGATTACTATTATAAAAAGTAATAGTAAATTAAATTGAAATTATATCCACTAACTATGCAAAGTACTTGCCATTAAACTGAGAAATATGTTAAGTAAAAGAGAAAAACGATGATTAGATTATTACTTGCTTAAAGCAGCATCAAATGATTCTGATGATTTGTAGTTGAAAGCATCATCAAATCCTAACTCCTTCAAGAGCTTTACCTGAGATCAATGCATTATACAAGAAATCAAAAATTGAAATTAAGTTGCCATTGTATTTAATTATATCCTTCTAAGATTGGAGGAAAAGTAAATAAAATTGTCCTAGCTAGAAAAAACTTATTGAAGATATTATGTAAATCAAGCCATGTGATCATATAGATACTAAAGATGAAACACGTATGAGAAATTGAGAATATATATAATGGGATTGAATTTTTTTTTTTTTTTTTATCTAAAAGAATACAAATTTTCAACTACAATTAAGTACTTTAGCCTCACACAAAAACAAAAAAGACAAATATACAAGGACGTATAGACCCATATGGACCATTAGTTAAGTTAAAATTAGGCCCCATCACGTTATTTCTGAGTAACAATCATCAAGTATCCTACACTAATAGTGCCCCAGTATTAGCGTGCACTATTAACTAATTTTTGGAATCTTAAAACTAGAAATCGTTATATCTATTAACAAAGGAGAAAGAGCTTAAATTTAGAAGTTCTTATATAATTCATTTAAGCGTCTTTGTCAAACCACTCTTCACGCAGAGATATTTTCAGCCAATATTCTCCTATTCTATATTCCCCACCACAGTGAATGTAAAGTGGAACTGTTAAACAGGAATTGTAAAAAGTCGGTGAAATTGTGGATGCAATTCAACTTGAATTTGTGGATGCAATTCAAGTGTACGTGTCCTTTCACAACTATGTATGAATTATGATCAAAGTAATATAAAAGAATTTAAAAGGAAAATAGTAAATAAGCACTAAAACCAATAATTAAGGAACCGAAGAAATAAAGAAATCCCACTTGGAAGCAACCTTCTTTCTTGTAATATAATAAAAAAATATAGGCAATTATTTGCACATGTAATATGTAAATGTTATGTGAACCCAAAGGACTTAACTTTAAACATTCTGTGACACTGACAAACAAACTATGTTTATTAAATGCGAAGCTAACTATGTTTATTAAATGCGAAGCAGGCAGAAGTGAATGATTTTTAATTTAAAAGAGGAGGGCATTTGATAAAATTTGGTGAGAAAGTTGGTGTTTGTGGTTGGGGATAGTTTATAACCTTTTCATTTGATCCAGTGCTTCCGATAACATTACAACCTTTGAGCTTAGCCAACTGTCCGGCATGCATACCCACACCTCCGGCAGCCGCCGATATAAACACGTTTGAACCTGACCTTGGGTTCCCTACCACCTCAATTGCCACCCATGCTGCGAATCCAGATGGTCCTATACATAACATGCATGTCTTCAAATGTAAATTAACATTACCACTTAAAAATCTTCATTTTTCAATTATACAAAATGTATATTTCCGGAACCCAGAAGCTGCATACATCATGAAAGAGAAAATAAAAAATTAAGATTACCAAGAGTGCTAAGATAATCTGTGAATGAAATTCCTGATGCTGGATCAATCTTCCTCAAATGTAGATGAGATGGTTGCACAACTGAATATTCAGCTACTGGCAAAAAAGGACATAGCACAAAATCACCCTCTGAGTAAGTACTTTCCTTTGACCGAATCACTCTTCCAATACCAAATGCTGATATCACCTGTAATTTTTATAAATGTGATAAATTAAACACAAGCAAATCCTTTGTAATTATTTTATAAAAGTAAAAGTTGCACAGTTTGGACCTGATTAATCTGGAACTGGGAAAGGTATAGACCGTCATCAATGCCAGTCATGATGGCGCGTAGATATGGATCAATGGAGATGTAGAGGGTCTCAATGACTACGTGGCTGTTAGGGATCGAATCAACGGCCAGTGATACATTGACAGTCCGGAGTCTGAGATGATCAGACGTTGGAACACCTTCTGGTGCATGGGCTGCCAAGTACCATTCTTTGCTTTCAATTGTTTCTGCCTTCTTCTCACTGCTCATTTTTTCTCTCTTGGAAACGGTTGTAGCTTTAATCTGTTTGTGTAATTGAAACACTTTTGGAATTAGATAATACTCTGTGTTTGGTTTGGTTTGTGTTGTGTTAGTAAATTGCTTTTGGAAATGCCTTTAAATATTGTTATATATAATATTTTTGTGGTGCAGAGCGCGTCTGTTTATATAAGGAAACTTTTTATTTATATGGTGAAAAGAGGAATCAAGGACAGATGGCGAAAGATCTCCATTTTTTTTTTCTTGAAATGGACAGGTTTCTAGCTTTTCCTTTTTATTATATTTTTGTGGTGCAGACTGCAGAGCGCGTCTGTTTTATATAAGGAAACTTTTTATTTATATGGTGAAAAGAGAAGTCAAAGACAGATGGCGAAAGATCTCTATTTTTTTTTTCTCTAAATGGACAGGTTTCTAGCTTTTCCTTTCGAAGGAACCGGCATTACTGAATTATTAAGGACCACTAATAAACTTGGTAAGTGGATCGACCCAAATAATTATGTAATTAAGGACCACAAAATTATTTCTAAACGGGGTAAATTGATCAACCCAATAACCAATTTTATTAGTGAATATTGAATGTTTAACCATTAGGTCTTATTATAGAGTTATTGGGATGTCCCATCTTTCAATTATCTTATAGTTGTTGGAAAGTTTAATCAGATTGTCATTTGGTAAAGACTCTTCAAGAGCAAAGTCTTAAAGAGTTGTTGGAAAGTTTGTCAAAACTGCAGAAAAGGAATAAGAAGAAGAAGAAGATGGCGAGAGTAGCAGAGTGTCTGCCAAAGATTGCCAAAAAGAAAGAGAAGAATTACATAATTAATGTCTGTATTTTTTCTATTGTATTTGTATATCTCATATGCTTTGTACAACTCCTATTTAATTGTAATATGACAATAAAGGAAAGCAACAATTATGTCCGGATTTCTCAATCACATGAAATCCGGGCAATATAAGGAAAAAATATTTACACATTAAAGCACATATTTGCATTCCATATCTCAACAAAGTTCAACCAAATTATCATTTACCAAAAACTCTCCAGGAGCTAAGTAATTAATTTGTTACTGAAAGATAGCAAGAAGTTTAACTGCAATGAAAGATAAAAAGAAAATGCATAGCATCTTGCTTTCACTGAGTTATCGAAATGCCTCCAGGGCTTTTCCCTCTCCATATTCAATGGAGCCACCGTTCTAGGCGGTACCATCACCCAGCTGCTATGATCTTAGACACAACTCTCTCTCTCTCTCTCTCTCTCTCTCTCTCTCTCTCTCTCTCTGTATTCTTAATTCTCTCTTTACAAATTACACAAACTAATATAAAGCAGAAGAATGACTAGAGAGCAAGGCATGCATTATTTAGTTTTTCATTGGTAGCAGTGTGGAATTTCCCAAACTATACAAACTAAATTAGTTGAAAGAGAGGCTTTTAAAAAGGTATATGTTGTTACCAAAGGTGGTGCTTCTTCTTTGCTCTTACAAATATCATTAGTATAGTATAAATTATACAAAGCATTTGAAATCAAATGATATTTCTAATTAGCTATGGAATATTTAAAATGGAATCATTGCACATATCAAAGAAATTAAAACAAAAAATATGTTTTAACTGCTTTTCAAAAGTAAGCAAATTGTTCTTCCACGACATAAAAAGCTTCATCTAAAATAGCACATAGTTTTAGAAACAATAAACCTTGAAAAAATATATGCCTAAAGCTCAATCACATTGCTTTGGCTTCTTAACCTTGCAATCTTCATAACTTGTAGGCCTTCCGTTTCCCTTCCTTTGACTCCAGGGCTTGATTTGCCATCAGTTTTCCAGCCGTTGCAAGGCGCTCTTTCAGTAGCTGCTGCATCAATTCTTCGACTTTCTCCATCGCTATGGCCCAACCTCTCAATATAGGATAAAGAGCAAATGGCTACAAACACCAACCAATTAACACAAAAATTAAAAAAGAAAAGAAGTAAATATACTTATGGGTGAAGAATAATTATACAAGTGTTTGCCAACATCTGCAGTTGAAAACGAAGACAGTTGTTGTGAGAAACTTTTTGGAATCATCTCCTTCAAGTCCACAGCACTCCTTTCTTCAAATTTCCCCTTTTGTGATTCTTCAAGTTTCCTCCTCTTGTGTCACCTAATACAAAGATGGCAATGATCAGCAACAATAATATAAAAATAAATGAACGAAAATGAAACCATGTACAAATTAAGTTCAAACCTGTCCCTTCTCTATAATTCTCATTTATTTTGGGGGTGTGGCTAGCCTCATGGGTCATCACCATTCTTGGAGTTATCAATTATTTCAACATTAATGGGCCACACATACCCAAATGCAATCGAGGGCCTTACTCCTTGGTGAGTGGGCATGGGTGCTCTCGACCCGTAGACTATTTGGGCTTTTTTCATAAATAACCATTAAATGACTTCTTTAAGTTATTAATTCCTTATTAAGTTTGAGCTTAGGAATAGAAATTCTTGTAATACTAGGTTTTAGTCTTTTAAACTTAGTACATAAACATTCTTTTCTCTTGTAATGAGTGATAACAATCATTGGACAAATTCATTCATTATAATCGAGATAGGTGAAGTAGTATTGAAATAATATTGACTCTACTGGATGTAGCATGTTAATTGGGTGAACCATGATAAATTGTAAGTATTACTTTTTCTCTTTACTATTTATGTTTGTGTGTTTTCTGTTATCTTAGTCTCCTATTAGTCTCTATTTCATGCAACCATTCAGATAAAGAGATTATAAGTGAACTTTACATACAATGAGAAGGGAAATCTAACCTCCTCAGAGGACTTGGAATCTGTGTCTTCCTTCGATTTCTCGCTACTTTTTTAACCCATTTATTGAAATGGAAAAGGAAACAAAACAAAAGATTCAAAATGACAACTAGTGAATAAACATAACAAATGAGAATGAGACTCCACCTAATCTAAGCCAAAATAAAATAAATAAATAAAACAAGATGAAAAGAACATATTAGGACAGTAACAGCTTACAGAATAACAGTGACTTGTTGGACTTGATGCACGAAATCCCAAAAGAGGAGAAGATCTAGGACTGAATCCCAAAACAGGACTCTGAATAGGAGACAAGTCTTCCTCGCCACAGTCACTAAAACTCCACTCTTCCTGGCGAGGTTGATCAATAGCAGTCGAGTCTTCTTCGTCGAATAGGGAAGGACGCCAAAGAGTATGACCACAAACCCTAATTATACTAGATGACTCTTCAGACAAGTCTTCCTCGCCACAGTCCCTAAAACTCCACTCTTCCTGGCCAGGTGGATCAAAAGCAGTCGAGTCTTCTTCGTCGAATAGGGAAGGACGCCAAAGAGTATGACCACAAACCCTAACTATACATAGATGACTCTTCCTCCACAAGTCCTGTCACCCTCATACGAACTAGATGATGCAACACTAGAACTATTTCTTGAAGTTGTGGCCTTATGAGTATGTAATTAGGACAATTATGTTAGACTTTTTATTATATTATCTTCCTACACTTTTATATAAAGTGAATGGGTAACCGCTGATGTTGATTATAATAAAAGTTACATACGATTGTGTCTCTTGGACAGTTGTCTTGATGTAAAGACAACTGCATTTATAAAGGAGATTTTACAGGTCCCCATTTGATGCAATTTTTCATTTGATTCCCAAAACCATCACTCTAAAAATTGCAGTCAGTGGAAGACTCTATTTCTGAAGTGACAGAAGCAAGAAGACTAAACAACAATTGCTATGGCTGGAGGTTTGTAAATTACTTCTGCAATATTCCATGAGTATTAAGATGTTATAATTGTTATATTATGAACTTTAAATGAATATTGGAATATAAATGTTTTTACATCTGGTATCAGAGCTTGTTTGATCTTGCCTAACATGAAATTGTTTGTTCAAATTTGGAGAATATTGTATAAAATTGGGATTTTTTCAATTAAAACGTACTATAAATCAAGCATAACTTTTATTATAAATAGAATCTGTTTCGATTTTTGTGTCATTGGATCCTTGTTGAAAAAGCTTTCCAACGATATATATTTGTCAAAAACGGAGTTATAGTTGCAAAGTTATGCTAGTTTAAGTTTCAGTTAGAAATTATAATTTGGGTGTTTTCGGTAGCCATTTACGGCACCTATTGGGATGAAAATGTCATTTAGGATGTCACCGATATAGTCATACATCCCATTCAGTTTCCCCTCTAAAACGCTGGAAAAATGAATGGAACAGGCTGTAAAAAATTACAAAAAAAAAAAAAAAAAAAAGGTCAAAAGTTGCAAAAAAGGGGTCAAAAAGAACTGGCCCAATTGGGTAAATGGGTCAAATCGACCCGGTCAAGGATAAAACAAGTCAAACTAACCCAGTCAAATTCAAAGGTCAGAACAGGTCAAAATGACTTGGCCAAACCAGCCTAAAAACTCGACGGGTCAACCTAACCTGGTCAGCATGGTCAACGACTCAGACCGAGTCAACAGGTCAACACGGGTCGAATGGGTCAAATCAGGTCAACAAACCAAGTAAAGGATCAACCCAACCCGGTCAAAAGGGTCAGACAGGCTTGGGTTGACTTACGGCACGGGAGGGTGCGCATGCTTGCGTCAGGCGCGTGGGGATGTGTGTTTAGGTGCGTGCAAGCACGTGGTAGGGTCGTGAAGGCACGTGCAAGGATATGTTGCCTTTTGGAGGCGCATGAATGCGCGTGGGGATACGTGGCTACACGTGATTTAGTCACGATGGTGCGTGGGAGTCAGTGATAATGCGTATGATGGATTTTATGTCATGCATTACTTTGTTATGCATAAATAATGTGTTATTCTTGTATTGATTTGTGTTATGTTATATTATATGCAATAATTCATGTTATAATTATTTAATGTTTTATGATCGTATATATTTGATTAATTTAGAGAAGTCACAGCATCTAAATTAGGATAATATATGCATTAAGTAATATCAGTTATGATCATATTAATGTTAATAATATCGTTTTGTAGTTAATCATATTAATATAATCATTTTACCCATAAGGAATGTTATATTTTCATGATTAATTAGGGATGAAATAGAAATTGTTCT